TGTGTGTGTGTGTGTGTGTGTGTGTGTCGTGCGTGTGTGTGTGTCTGTATCTGTGTCTGTGTGTGTGTGTGTGTATGTGTGTGTGTGTGTGTGTGTGTGCGTGCGTGTGTGTGTGTCTGTATCTGTGTCTGTGTGTGTGTGTGTGTGTGTGTGTGTGTGTGTGTGTTTGTATCCGTGTGTGTGTGTGTGTATGTGTGTGTGTGTGTGTGTGTGTGTGTGTGTGCGTGCGTGCGTGTGTGTGTGTCTGTATCTGTGTCTGTGTGTGTGTGTGTGTATGTGTGTGTGTGTGTGTATGTGTGTGTTTCTATCCGTGTGTGTGTGTGTATGTGTGTATGTGTATCTGTGTTTGTGTGTGTGTGTGTGTGTGTGTGTGTGTGTGTGTGTGTGTGTGTGTGTGTGTGTGTGTGTGTGTATCTGTATCTGTGTTTGTGTGTGTGTGTGTGTGTGTGTGTGTGTATGTGTGTGTATGTGTATCTGTGTGTGTGTGTGTGTGAACATGAACACGGCTTCTTGTGTTATGAACACGGCTTCATGTGTGAAATTTAAAGTAGATGTCATGCAGGTTTCAGGCTGTGGTTGATCTGTAGCCTCAGAACCTGGCTCAGCTTTTAGGGTTCAAACTGGAGGAAACAGTCTGAACTGGGCTGGCTCTCCCTCTCTCTCTCAGACTCTTAAAGATCCTACTCTAGCGGCGAGGAAAGATTTCCAGCGCGAGGCCGAGCTGCTGACCAACCTGCAGCACGAACACATCGTCAAGTTTTACGGAGTGTGTGTGGACGGAGACCCGCTCATCATGGTGTTTGAGTACATGAAGCACGGAGACCTGAACAAGTTCCTCAGGTGAGTCCAGCAGGAGGTTTGTCATTATTCATCACTCTCTGTTTACTTTAATATTTATTCATCTGTTCAGACTGACAGGATCATTGATAAACATGTTTCTGTAAATATTTCATATAACTCTTACATTTGATATTCATGAAGCAGTCTTCATCTGTCTGTCTCTATTCTCAGAGCCCACGGGCCGGACGCCATGATCCTGGTGGACGGGCAGCCTCTGCAGACAAACGGCGAGCTGGGTTTGTCTCAGATGCTGCACATCGCCAGTCAGATTGCAGCAGGGATGATCTACCTGGCCTCTCAGCACTTTGTGCACCGAGATCTGGCCACCAGGAACTGTCTGGTCGGAATGGGCTGCTGGTGAAGATCGGAGACTTTGGGATGTCCAGAGACATTTACAGCACGGATTACTACAGGGTAAGATTACTATAGACAACTATAGATTACTACAGATTACTATAGATTACTAGATTTGACTCCCCCGGCAGTCTAAGCCTATAGCAGCATAACGAGGAGCTGCTCTACACCTGTGCCAGCCCTAACAATGAGCTTTATCAAAAAGGAAAGTTTTAAGCCTCCCGGACCCTGACTGGTAGATGATTTCAAAGGACCTGATAACTGAAGGCTCTACCTCCCATAGTACATTTAGAGACTGTAGGTACCACAAGCAGGCCTGATAACTGAAGGCTCTACCTCCCATAGTACATTTAGAGACCGTAGGTACCACGAGCAGGCATAAGATGGTGCCTGGCCATTTAGAGCTTTGTAAGTGAGAAGAAGGATCTTGAATTGTATTCTAGACTGTATAGGGAGCCAGTGCAGAGAAGCCAACACAGGAGTGATGTGGTCCCATTTCCTGGTTCTGGTCAGTACACGAGCTGCAGCGTTCTGGACCAGTTGAAGAGTCTTTAGAGATTTGCCAGAGCACCCTGACAAAAGAGAGTTACAATAATCCAATCTGGAGGTAACAAATGCATGAACTAATTTTTCTGCATCATTTTGCGACAGGATATTCCTGATCTTGGATATATTACGAAGGTGAAAATAGGCTGTTCTTGAAATTTGCCTGATGTGAGAGGTAAGCTAGAAGTAGATTGTTTGTAACTCTAACTAGTGCAGTGTCAGTGCATGGTGGACTCTAAATCCTGACTGAAACTCCTCAAATAAACTGTTGTCATGGAGAAAGTCACACAGCTGATTAGCTACAACTTTCTCCGGGATCTTTGAGATAAAAGGAAGGTTGGATATAGGCCTATAGTTAGCTAGAGTCCTGAGTTCCTGGTTTTTTGACTTGAGGTTTGATTACCGCTCTTTAAATGACTGTGGTACATAGCCTGCCAGTAAAGACATTTTGATCATATCTAATATAGAGTTGCTAACTAAAAGACGGAAAAAGGGAAAGACTTCCTTAAACAGCTTGGTTGGGATTGGGTCTTAAAGACAGGTTGACAGTTTAGAAAGTCATTTTTGATGACTCAGTCTTTACTGTCGTAAATCATTATTGAGATTGTGTGTGTGTCTCTGTGTGTGTGCTCAGGTTGGGGGTCACACCATGCTGCCTATCCGTTGGATGCCTCCTGAGAGCATCATGTACAGAAAGTTCACCACAGAGAGCGACGTGTGGAGCTTCGGTGTCATCCTGTGGGAGATCTTCACATACGGAAAGCAGCCGTGGTTCCAGCTTGCCAACAACGAGGTGAGGGGGAAACTGAAATGCGTTACGTCAACATTTTCATTTACAAGCTGAAATAGTAATTATCCTGAGAACACGCCCTACTCTAACCCTCACTGTGATATACTCACTGTGATGGGCAGGGGGTTTGGTGCCTTGCTCAAGGGCACCTCGGCAGTGCTCAGGAAGCGATCTGGCACCTCTCCAGCTACCAGACCAACTTCCATGTTTGGTCCACAGTTTGGTCCACAGTCCAAAGTTTGGGACTTGAACCGGCGACCGGTTCCCAACCCAAGTCCCTACAGACTGAGCTACTGCCACCCCAATACATTCACTATGATATACTCTCTGTGATACACTCACTATGATATACTCTCTGTGATATACTCAAACTAAGAACCTGGTGTTGGACACCAGTGGTAAGGAAATCGTCTGGCTGAAGAATGAGGCCTTTCAGGATTTGATTAGCCCAGGGGTCTCTGGAAGCAGCTGACAGGTATCGGGTGGCTCAGAGAGCTGAGGCTTCAGTGGTTGCTGAAGCAAAAACCTGGGAGTGGGAGGAGTTCAGGAAGGCTTTGGAGAAGGACTTTGGTTAGGCCTCAAGGAAGTTCTGGCAAACCATCCAACAGGTCAGGAAGGGGAAGCAGTGCTTGCCCCAGTCTGCAGGGGTGGAGAACTGCTGACCCAGACTTGGGATATCGTTATAAGGAATACTTTGAGGAACTCCTGTACCAAATGAAAACGCCCTCTGAAAGGGAGGCAGAGTCACTAAGGCAGTTAGGAAGCTCCTCAGTAGTAAGGTGCCAGGTGTGAATGGGATTTGCCTCGAGATGCTAAAGGCTCTGACTGCCATCCCTTTTCAATGTCGTGTGGGAAAAGTGCCTATGGAGTGGCTGTGTGGTTCCCATTTTTTTTAAATTGGGAACAGGAGAATGTGCTCCAATTATCGGTGTATCACACTGCTCAGTCTCCCGGGGAAAGTTTACTCTAGAACGCTTGAGAGAAGATTTTGACCGATTGTCGAACCTCCGATTTAGCTGTAACAATGTGCATTCAGTCCGGAGGACAGTGGACCCTCGCAGGGCCCCCTTTGGGGGGCATGGGAGTTTCAAAGTCAAAGTCAAAGTCAACTTTATTGTCAATTTCAAAATATGCCAGACATACAGTGGAATCGAAATTTCGTTTGTCTCCGTCCCGCGGTGCAATACAACCAAAATAAGGTAAAATAAGATAAATAATATTTACAGTAATAAATTCTAAATTGTGCAAAAGGTAGTAAAGGTAGTAAATAAAATACAATAAAATGTAAAGAAAAAGTGAACAGAGAAAACAGAAGATGGAGCTCCTGTAAAAAGTGCTGATCATGAGGAAATAAAACAGCCTCTCAGAATAACTCTGTTTCATATCTGAGCAGGAAACTGTCCACTGATGTTGTTCTGTTCCATCATCCACATCATGCATTCAGTAATAAATATAATAAACCTGAGTGTACATTTAATCATGTCTTGTGTGTGCTTTTAGGTGATCGAGTGTATCACTCAGGGCCGGGTCCTGGAGCGTCCCCGTCTGTGTCCTAAAGAAGTCTACGACATGATGCTCGGCTGCTGGCAGAGAGAGCCTCAACAACGCCTCAACATCAAAGACATCCAGAAGCTGCTGCTCACTCTGATGAAGGCCACACCTGTGTACCTGGACATCCTGGGATAGAGACAGACCTGATGAAGGCCACACCTGTGTACCTGGACATCCTGGGATAGAGACATACCTGATGAAGGTCACACCTGTGTACCTGGACATCCTGGGATAGAGACAGACCTGATGAAGGTCACACCTGTGTACCTGGACATCATGGGATAGAGACAGACCTGATGAAGGTCACACCTGTGTACCTGGACATCCTGGGATAGAGACATACCTGATGAAGGTCACACCTGTGTACCTGGACATCCTGGGATAGAGACAGACCTGATGAAGGTCACACCTGTGTACCTGGACATCATGGGATAGAGACAGACCTGATGAAGGTCACACCTGTGTACCTGGACATCGATCCAAAGAAGATAATTATTCTGCAGGGAAAATCTGGCCTGGACTCAAACACACCTGGATAACAATTATTGTAGTCTGCTTCATCCTGCCTGAAATAATGAGTTTAAGGATGGACAAGATTAGCTTGTATCTCAGGGTAATAAAGTGACCTGAAGCTGAGTACGCTCTGGACTTGTGTGGTCCAATCACATCAACTCCTGACTGAACAGTGAAGTATTGAGTTACACTGGACTGAACTGGATTCACCTGGTTATACTGGTCTGGTCTGACGTGGTACCAACATGTCCTCACCTGTTCATCTTCATTTCAGCCTGAGAGCAGGTTCACTGTCCTGTCCCAGTCTGGCCAGGTCACCTGGTCTCTAGGCTCAATATTGCATCATTACATTAAGCGTCATATGTTTACATCCTGGTCTCTGAGTTTAGATTTGAACATTCATTCCCTTGACGTCTCTTAACCCTCAAATGTTTTATCATGGTCCCTCTGTAAATCAGGTCTGGGTTAGTTCAGGTTCTGATCCTCACCTGTCCTCTGCAGTCCTGGTTATTACTCATATTCATGTTCAGGAACTTTCTGCATGTAGTTCTGTAGACTTCTATAGAAAGCTTTAAAGGTGGATGTTTGTCTATCACTGAAACTGTCTGCACATATTGACTCAATGTGTTCACACTGACTTCTTACAGTGCTGAACACATGAATAGACATTTTCCTGATGGAATTTGATTATGCTGTTCGATATGAAGCTTTGAATATTTGTCTTTATTTCATGTCTGTCTCACCGTTCACTTCACTGTTGTTTCATCATATGTGATTGAAACTGAAGGAGGCTTTTAGTCAGCAGCTCAGCTAGCACCCCCCAAAGTCAAACTGAAGAACGCTGAAGAAACAGAGACCATGATGCAGCTTTATTACTGCATCTGTTTGGGAATCTGTCTCTCAGTTAAACTTCTGTAGAAGAAGAACAGGGAACGAGGATTCAGAGACTCAGCTTCTGTTCCCAGCCTGATATTCTCTCAGAGTCTCCTCCACTGTTTAAATGTTTAAACTATTTAATGAGCTTCTTTTAGGTTCAAACACTTTCTGCTTCTGATGCATTTTCATTCTAGACTTCTTTGGATCTTTGACTAGTGATTATTCAAGAAAGCTTTGTTGGGATTACTGACTCCAGCTGACTCTGGCTGTGTCTGTTCTAGTTAAGGAGTCTTCTTACAGTACTTAAGGAGTCTTCTTACAGTATTTAAGGAGTCTTCTTACAGTACTTAAGGAGTCTTCTTACAGTACTTAAGGAGTCTTCTTACAGTATTTAAGGAGTCTTCTTACAGTACTTAAGGAGTCTTCTTACAGTATTTAAGGAGTCTTCTTACAGTACTTAAGGAGTCTTCTTACAGTATTTAAGGAGTATTCTTACAGTACTTAAGGAGTCTTCTTTCAGTACTTAAGGAGTCTTCTTACAGTACTTAATGAGTCTTCTTACAGTACTTAAGGAGTCTTCTTACAGTATTTAAGGAGTATTCTTACAGTACTTAAGGAGTCTTCTTACAGTATTTAAGGAGTCTTCTTACAGTACTTAAGGAGTATTCTTACAGTATTTAAGGAGTCTTCTTACAGTACTTAAGGAGTATTCTTACAGTACTTAAGGAGTCTTCTTACAGTATTTAAGGAGTCTTCTTACAGTATTTAAGGAGTCTTCTTACAGTACTTAAGGAGTATTCTTACAGTACTTAAGGAGTATTCTTACAGTATTTAAGGAGTCTTCTCACAGTACTTAAGGAGTATTCTTACAGTATTTAAGGAGTCTTCTCACAGTACTTAAGGAGTATTCTTACAGTACTTAAGGAGTATTCTTACAGTATTTAATGAGTCTTCTCACAGTACTTAAGGAGTATTCTTACAGTATTTAAGGAGTATTCTTACAGTACTTAAGGAGTATTCTTACAGTATTTAAGGAGTCTTCTCACAGTACTTAAGGAGTATTCTTACAGTATTTAAGGAGTATTCTTACAGTATTTAATGAGTCTTCTCACAGTACTTAAGGAGTATTCTTACAGTATTTAATGAGTCTTCTCACAGTACTTAAGGAGTCTTCTTACAGTACTTAAGGAGTATTCTTACAGTATTTAAGGAGTCTTCTTACAGTACTTAAGGAGTATTCTTACAGTACTTAAGGAGTCTTCTCACAGTACTTAAGGAGTATTCTTACAGTACTTAAGGAGTATTCTTACAGTATTTAATGAGTCTTCTCACAGTACTTAAGGAGTATTCTTACAGTATTTAAGGAGTATTCTTACAGTACTTAAGGAGTATTCTTACAGTATTTAAGGAGTCTTCTCACAGTACTTAAGGAGTATTCTTACAGTATTTAAGGAGTATTCTTACAGTATTTAATGAGTCTTCTCACAGTACTTAAGGAGTATTCTTACAGTATTTAATGAGTCTTCTCACAGTACTTAAGGAGTCTTCTTACAGTACTTAAGGAGTATTCTTACAGTATTTAAGGAGTCTTCTCACAGTACTTAAGGAGTCTTCTTACAGTACTTAAGGAGTATTCTTACAGTATTTAAGGAGTCTTCTTACAGTACTTAAGGAGTATTCTTACAGTACTTAAGGAGTATTCTTACAGTATTTAAGGAGTGTTTCTGCTGTTCTCTCTGGCCATGAGCAGAATGATCCTGATCCAAAGTTTACAGAGCGAGGCCTTTATGCTGATAGTGTTTGTTTAGAGACGTCACAAACAGAAACGTCCTTCTGTCGTGTCGTGCTTGTCAGCTTTCATCCCTTCATCAAACATTTCTCATCCATACACCTTCATCAACTCACCTGCTGCTTCTGGACCAGATCGTCCATCCAGAGACCGTCTATGGCCACAGAGACCAACCCAAGTGCCTCCTTTTTCTAGATAGCACTTTGACCTTTAGCTGCTGATATATCTTCATGCTAGCTGGACTCAGCCTTTTCTCAGCTCTGTGGTAACGGCAAAAAAAGAACAAAAACAGGAATAAAACACTTTTGTACTCTTTTCAGCTCGATGAGATCTTCAAACAACCCGAGCTCAAGTTTGAGTTTTTTTTAGAAAAATACATGATCTATATATTTTCTATTTATGTTTGTTTGAACAAAGAGAGTATCTCTGCCACGCTCCCAAACATCTGAACAATAAACCAACTTGTGTGGACGTACATGATCGTGATCAGGTGTCAGATAAACGATCAAATCAAAACATGTGATATTAAACCCTTCCGAGCGACCAGCTGTACATTCTGTAAATCTAAACCTCTCTTACTTCCTGCTTTAGTTTCCTGATAAACGCTTCAGACAATTGAATAAAGTTTGATTACCCGTCTTTACTTTAGTCAGTGTTTTTTATTAATTATTAAGAGTTTGGGGCAGAGGCTTAAAATGAGAGATAGACCTGCTTTAAGATAAAAGTATTTATCTTAATTATATATTAATTAGATATAGGTATTCAATAACTTCCGTTCATTGTTATTTTAGATTGAGGATAATGTTTGAGTCAGACATAAAATATAAACGCATGAATGTTTATTAAACCTGCTCGGACTTTAAGTGCTGATCAAACATCAGGTCACTGATTGGATATAAAGATGAACAACGACGAGGATGCTCCATCGGCCCCCAAAATACCCTACAACGGTCTGACACAGCGCCTTCCTCAGACCAAACCCACCTTTACCCTCCTGCTAAAAGGTCAAAGGTCGTTCAGGTTAAACCTCCTGCTAAAAGGTCAAAGGTCGCTCAGGTTAAACCTCCTGCTAAAGGTCAAAGGTCGTTCAGGTTAAACCTCCTGCTAAAAGGTCAAAGGTCGCTCAGGTTAAACCTCCTGCTAAAGGTCAAAGGTCGTTCAGGTTAAACCTCCTGCTAAAAGGTCAAAGGTCGCTCAGGTTAAACCTCCTGCTAAAAGGTCAAAGGTCGCTCAGGTGGGTTCAGATTCTTGTGTCAGACTGAAGCAGACTCTTCTTTAATGACTCTTCTGTTCGCCTTCATTACGTTTCCTTACAGTTCCTCCTCTACTCCGATAATCCGGAGCAGACGGAAACGCAGGAGCCTCATTGGTCAACACAGCTGCCAATCATGACGTTTTATACCGTTTTATATCATCAAATAACGAATTAAATCTAAACATGTCCGAAACCCTAACCCTGTGACATGGATCAGAAAGATATCATTAATCTGATTTTATAGTTTGACCCATCTGTTAACATGGAGGAGGCGGGGCTTATGACCTATACTACAGCCGGTCAGCGGGGGGGGGGTCTAAATGTTTTGGCTTCACTTCCTGGGAGCTACTTTGTTGCCCATCTGTTTACACAGACTATGTGTGTTAGAGGAACAGTTAAACATCTAAGGGTTTAGTTTAGTTCACCTACAAACTGCTCAATGAGATTAGCCTAGCTTAGCATAAAGATTGGAAACAGAGGGAAACATAAAGACCTATTCACTTTAACCCTCTAAATAAACTCTACAGACATATTTTATTTTATCAAACTTTTCATGAATGACTTTTTTAATCTCTGAGTTTATTTTAAAACTCACTTTTTTTTGCTATCTGATCACAAAACATTCACTCTGAGAGGTCTTTCGCTGTCCACCATGTTTGTTTGTTGTTTGTCCTGACACGCTGAGCTGAGCTCACCTCGGTGATGGAGACTTGTTGTGATTCAGGATAAAAAGGGCTGAAAGTTATATTAGAGCTGAGCGCCCTGTAAACAGCTGCTGTGTGTTTCCTGTTTAACTGTCACCACATTATTCCACAGGTATGAATATATTAGAGCTCATGTGTCTGACAGAGCAGAAAGTCTGAACTGTGTGACCTTTGACCTTTCTGTATGTCAGCTCACAGCGTTATTACTTCATGATGGGACGATGTTTTTATTGTTTATTCGACATTCACTTGTCTGTTTGTCTGTCTTTAGTTCTCTCTCTCTCTCGTCATGTACCTGTCTCCATACTATCATTTATAACTTGATGTAGTTGGAGGATTTATAATCTTGACTAGTGTCTTTATAGAAAGTTGTAACTGACTCATTAAACGTTTCTTTTGCCTTCAGAACTTCATTCTTGGTGGTATAGATTCAACAAGATGCTGGAAACATTTCTTTAGAGATTCTGGTCCATATTGACGTGAGAGCATTGAGAGATCCGCTGACTGTAGGCCGTTTGAGTACAGTGAACTGATGCCACGTTCAAAAAACCAGTTTGATATATATGAGATCCTCACAGATTAGCAGCTGCTGAAATACTCAGACCAGCCCGTCTGGCACCAACAACCATGCCACGTTCAAAATCACTTACATCAACTTTCTTCCCCATTCTGGTGCTCGGTTTGAACTTCAGCAGATCATGTTGAACATGTCTACATGCCTAAATGCATTGAGATGCTAATATGTGATTGGCTGATTAGATATTAGCATTAAAGAGCAGTTGAATAACTGAACCTTATAAAGTGGCTTCATGGAGCCTTGGCTTCACGGCTCCTGTGGAAGGCCCTGCCTGCTCCTGTGTCCTGATTGGTAGCCTGGCCTACACCGTGCCCCATTGTCTATGTCTGTGTGAAGGCAGACAGACCCCTCCTGGTGGCCCTCCTGACCTGCACTCTCTGTTTGGTCAGCCTCCCAGCCTTTTAAAAAAAAGAAAAAAAAAAGTAAGCCTTTGTTTTTAAATAAATGATTTCAGTATCTTCTCAATCCCACAGTGACATATCATTTGTGATACATTGAATTACATATATATGATTTATTGAACTTTGATGTTTGTGTGCACTTTAAGAACTGTATTTTCCTGTTTTGAAATTGTTGATTAGATTATTGTTGTTCATCAAGGCTCCTGATGAGACTCTGTTTTGGTTGCTGTATCCTGCACCGGCTGGCTCCAGGAACATCAGAAGTCACATACATACCAAAGCCAAAAAAGCAGTTTTTACAGCCTAAATGAACATGTGTACAGCCTGGTAGAAAAAACTATATTGGTCTAATTAATTATTGATATCACAGACACACAGTGTGCAGGGGGTGAATTTTATTCACAAAGCATCCGATACGTGTTCTCCATAGTTAGGCGTGTAGCTGACCTGATTGACAGGTGGGCGCGGTGTAACGGTTTCTCAGGAGGTTTAAAACCCGCCTCAGCTCCAGCTCTCAGCCTGTCGTTAGGTTGACTGAAAGTTAGACTGAGACAGCATTTCCAGCATGGAGACCGCCATCGATGGGACTCCAGCGCCCCCTGCAGGAACAGACGGGGGACGTCACTCAGGCTCCGCCCTTTAATATTTAGAGTCTGTGGTGTTAACATACAAAGTGTGGTTGTTGGTAACATGACTTACGAAGCAGTCAATCCAACAAGGACTCTGCTATCCAAGTAAGTATAAACACTTCAAACATGCTTTTTAAAGTTTTGTTTTTGTAATTATCTTTTTATTGAGAAAGACTTGAAACATACATACATGACATCAAGCCAGGCTTGAACTTAGCAGCAGCCAGCTGCTAACAGGCCAGGCTCAGGCCCAGCAGTCACCATCCAACAGGCTCAGACCGAGCAACCAGCAGGTCCGGAAACATCCAGTCATCAGGCCAGGCTCAGGCACAGCAGCAGCCAGCATACCACCAGGACAAGCTGAGACACGACAGCAGCAGGCTACCACCAGGCTGAGGACCAGGCCCAGGAGCAGCAGCCGGCTATCAACAGGTCAGGCTCAGGCCTAGCAGCATCCTCTTACCACCAGGCTAGGCTCAGGCCCAGCAGCAGGAGAAGAAGAAATGCCAAATGGAAAGATTAATACACGGAGCAAAGAAATGACAACCACAGATGACCTGGAGGAGATAAAAAGATCCTTAAACTTTATGTCAGGTGAGCTGACAAAGTTAACATCGCAGCAGGAACGACTGATCGGATTGATAGACTTAGTGAAAACCCTGAAAACCATGTTGACAGAGAAGGAAAGAAAGATATCTGTGCTGGAGCAAAGGGTGGATGATTTGGAGCGCAAAGTGCAACTGTAATTGACAATATTTTTACAAATATAACAGAGGGAATAGTTGTGAGTGGGATCTTTTTTTATTTTTTTTATTTTTTTTGGGCTTTTCGTGCCTTTAATGCAGAGAGAGGACAGTGGATAGAGTCAGAAACCAGAGAGAGAGGACAGTGGATAGAGTCAGAAACCAGGGAGAGAGAGAGGACAGTGGATAGAGTCTGAAACCAGAGAGAGAGAGGACAGTGGATAGAGTCTGAAACCAGAGAGAGAGAGAGAGGACAGTGGATAGAGTCTGAAACCAGAGAGAGAGAGGACAGTGGATAGAGTCTGAAACCAGGGAGAGAGAGGACAGTGGATAGAGTCAGAAACCAGAGAGAGAGAGAGGACAGTGGATAGAGTCAGAAACCAGAGAGAGAGAGAGGACAGTGGATAGAGTCTGAAACCAGAGAGAGAGAGGACAGTGGATAGAGTCTGAAACCAGAGAGAGAGAGAGGACAGTGGATAGAGTCGGAAACCAGAGAGAGAGAGGACAGTGGATAGAGTCTGAAACCAGAGAGAGAGGACAGTGGATAGAGTCAGAAACCAGAGAGAGAGAGAGGACAGTGGATAGAGTCAGAAACCAGAGAGAGAGAGGACAGTGGATAGAGTCTGAAACCAGAGAGAGAGAGAGGACAGTGGATAGAGTCTGAAACCAGAGAGAGAGAGAGGACAGTGGATAGAGTCAGAAACCAGAGAGAGAGAGAGGACAGTGGATAGAGTCAGAAACCAGAGAGAGAGAGAGGACAGTGGATAGAGTCTGAAACCAGAGAGAGAGAGAGGACAGTGGATAGAGTCTGAAACCAGAGAGAGAGAGAGAGGACAGTGGATAGAGTCTGAAACCAGAGAGAGAGAGAGGACAGTGGATAGAGTCTGAAATCAGAGAGAGAGAGAGGACAGTGGATAGAGTCTGAAACCAGAGAGAGAGAGGACAGTGGATAGAGTCTGAAACCAGAGAGAGAGGACAGTGGATAGAGTCTGAAACCAGAGAGAGAGGACAGTGGATAGAGTCTGAAACCAGAGAGAGAGGACAGTGGATAGAGTCAGAAACCAGAGAGAGAGAGAGGACAGTGGATAGAGTCAGAAACCAGAGAGAGAGAGGACAGTGGATAGAGTCTGAAACCAGAGAGAGAGAGGACAGTGGATAGAGTCTGAAACCAGGGAGAGAGAGGACAGTGGATAGAGTCTGAAACCAGAGAGAGAGAGAGGACAGTGGATAGAGTCTGAAACCAGAGAGAGAGAGGACAGTGGATAGAGTCAGAAACCAGAGAGAGAGAGGACAGTGGATAGAGTCAGAAACCAGAGAGAGAGAGGACAGTGGATAGAGTCAGAAACCAGAGAGAGAGAGAGGACAGTGGATAGAGTCAGAAACCAGAGAGAGAGAGAG